CTCATCCCTCTGGAGCCAGATCCTCCTTCTATCTCCATGGCTCCCATCTCTACTTCCGTCCCTCCGCCGTCCGTCGAGTCCACCCCGCCGTCGCACGCGGATGCTGACGCTGAGGAACTCGCACGATATACGGCTGACCTGGAGCCCGCAGTTCGTGACCTCATCCGAGAGTACCACGGCGTTTTCCCATCGTCGTTCTCGTACGCCGGCATCCCACCGATGCGTGACGTCGAGCACTCCATTCAGCTTGTGCCTGACTATCGTGTTCACCACCAGGCACCCTACAGACTCTCGATCCCCGAGGCCACCGAACTCAAGCGTCAGCTTGAGGAGCTCCTGAGACTGGGTTTCATTAAACCCAGCAACTCCCCGTGGGGTGCACCCGTCCTCTTTGCTCGCAACGCGGATGGAACTCTCTGTCTCTACATCGACTATCGCGGTCTCAACCGCTACACGGCTAAGAACAACTACCCCATGCCTCGTTCCGATGAGCTGTTCGACCGCCGAGAAGGCAACCGCTTCTTTACGAAGATTGATCTTCATAGCGGTTACCATCACATCCGCGTCGCTGTAGCCGACCAGCCAAAGACCGCGTTCCGATCGCGATTCGGCCACTACGAGTTCACGGTGATGCCATTCGGCCTCACCAATGCACCCGCTACCTTTCAGAGGGCGATGAACGACATCTTCAGGGACACCCTGGAGCAGTACGTTCTCATCTACCTCGACGATATCTTGGTCTACAGTCGTACCCTTGAGGAGCATCTCAGACACCTCCGCCATGTCCTTGACCGCTTGCGCAGACATGGCTTCTACGCCAAGCTGAGCAAGTGACGCTTTGCCCAGCCCAAAGTGGATTTCTTAGGACACTACGTGTCTGATCAGGGTCTCCACATGGACGATGCGAAGATCACTGCTATTGCGGAGTGGCCCGCTCCCACATCCGCCAAGCAGCTTCGCAGCTTCCTAGGCCTGACCAGCTACTATAGTAATGTCATCCGGGGATACACTAGGTATTCCTACGTCCTTACCTCCACCCTCCTTCGGAAGAACCCACCCTGGGCTTGGACACCCCTCCACGAGGACGCTTTCCGCGCCCTCAAGAAGTCGGTGACATGCGCACCGGTGCTTCACCTACCCGATTTTGATCGCCCTTTTATCCTTACCACTGATGCGTCAGACTTTGCTGTAGGAGCAGTGCTTTCTCAGGTCTTCCTCTCCTCTCCTGACTCCTCTCATCCTCGTATCCCTCGCTTCCCACCACCTACCCCTACCACTGCTTCCCGACTGATGTATACTCGTCCAGCTACTGACAAGCCTTCTATTGACTATTCTCCTACCATCGCCGAGGACGGCACTGTCGAGTCTCGCTCAGGTGATTGTCCGATAGCCTTCTATTCCCGTCAGCTCCTGCCCGCCAAGATAAACTACACCGCTAATGAACGTGAGGTTCTCGCAGTAGTTTATGCCGCTCGGCACTGGCGTCACTACCTGCACGGGGCACCGTTCACGGTGCGTACGGACAACTCTGTTGTCCAGGCTTTTCTGACAAAACCGAAGCTCACTCCTCGACATGCTCGCTGGTGGCGCGACCTATCCGAGTTTAGTTTCACCACTGAGCACATCAAGGGTGAGACTAATCGCGTCGCAGATGCCCTATCCCGGCGCCCTGACCACGACCAGGAGCAGATCCAGCTCTCTTCCATCTCAGTCACCACTGTCCACCACTCGGTGATTGACGAGTTTCGCACTCACTACCGTCACTGCCCCGACTATCGCGACATCCACGCGACCCTTTCGGAGTGGCAAGACCGTCCCGAACTACTCTCTTGGGGACAACGGTCTCGTGTACTGGCACGGTTCACAGGGCACCAGAGAGCCCCGCATTTGCGTTCCCTCCACTGGACAGCTACGTATCCGCGCAGTAGCAGAGTTCCATGACCAGGCAGCCGCCGATCATATGGGCTTCCACAAGACGTTGGCTCGTGTGAGCCGCCTATACGTCTAACCGAAGCGCAAGGACTTTGTGAAGGACTACGTCGCAGAGTGTCCCACCTGTCAGGAGGTGAACAGTGCGAACCACGTGCCTTATGGCTTGCTCCAGCCTCTTCCTATCCCTGAGGGTCGTTGGCAGTCCATCTCGATGGACTTTATCGGTCCCCTTCGTCCTCCGACCCCTCGCGGTCATGATGCTATCCTGGTCGTCGCCGATCACTTCACGAAGCGTGCACGCTTTGTTCCGTGCCGCTATGCCATCAGTGCATGTGAGGTCGCCGACATCGTGTTTGACCGAGTCGTGCGTGACCACGGCTTACCCCTGAGCATCATATCTGACCGTGACCTGCTGTCAGGCGGCCACAAGTAGTGCGCCGCCTGAAAACGGCAGTTTAGGGGTTTAGGCAGGGTTAAGTCCGCGTTTTGACAGTGCTTTGGGATGGCCAGGCAGCAGGAATTATGAGAACTCAGGGTACCCCTGATTCTGGGCGCACTGGATTTTAAGAGTGACCCCCAAAGACAGCAAGATGGATGGGTGCGCTGAGCGCATCTAGAGACCGTCATTTTCGGTCGTTCAGAGGACTGGAACCGTTTTGGCCTGCCGCGGAGAGGGATCGCGGAAACAGACCTCGCCGCGGCATTTTGACGGCATACAACCGGGGCCGAAATGAGGCCTCGGATTTTCGTCTTTTTAAACATC